GAATTGATACATGACAGTAAAAGTGAGCCTAGATTCTTCAGCAAATGTTGGATCTAAATCTAGAATTTGATTAAAATCCATATCAGTTGATGTGGTTAACCTGAGAGACGAATTTTCGGTATTGCCATAGTTGTATAAGCTTGATATATTAATAACCGCCATTCGCATGCAAAATTCCAACCACCTTGTCCCATTTGTATCATTATAACTCTGAATATCTTTCAATCTGAATAATTTATCTATAAATATTTCTAAAATCTGATCAAAAAATTCGAGACCAATTTTGGTAAAAAGCATTCCATGTAATCTGATATACAAGTTCTCAATTGATTGATTATTCAGATTATCACATCGTTTATTTGAAGAATGTAAAGTTTCACGTTGCATATAAGTACGGCTTTTTTGCTTTTGTTTATTATTGCTTGTTACGAGGGTTGCAAAACGTTTACGATTTGATTCGAATAACCAAATAAGTGGTTCACGAGCGGCCATATAGGGTGTATCAACCATAAGGCTTTAAATGAAGTATGGAATTATTATAATAATTAATAAATAATATAACATTGAAAGATTACACTAATAAATATATATGCGTACCTTCTACAATAATAATATAACGTTTTAAATTCATCTTGTCCCGCGAGAATAGCCAAATGATTATAAAGTTTTCCTAGAAATAAATAAATAAATAAATATAAATATATATAAAATATAAAGTTTAGCTACAAGTAATAAAAGTATTAAATTATTATACCATTATTAGATTTGAGCAGAATCCCTAAACGATACCATCGAGATGCATTTTCTGCCCAGAATTGTTTATTCTTTTCTTGATCTTCCGAGCAATATGACCAATGATATCTAGCAATGTCCCCCAAACAACCTATACAACGTATCCACCTTGGAGGTTTATTGCTCTCCAAATTCTTATTACTAAGTCTCGAATTTTCAGAAATAAGTTTTAATAATTTTTTATAAAACATTTCAGCTTCATCTAAAAAGATGTTAAATTGACTTAAAATAACGGTAGATGATGATGATGATGGTGGTTTATTTGAAGATTGACGTCTTTCCAAAGAAATTGCTTGACGAAATTGTTCAATTAATGAGTAAACCGCAATTTTCCAACATCTTGATTCAATGTCATGTTTCACGGCCGAAGAGTAACTAAGATGAATATATTCACAATACTTTTTGGCCAATCTACAATTACAAAGATTTAAATTAAATTCAAAAATGAATGTAAAAAAAATGAGATTATTCCTCAATGCATACTTTAAGTGAGAGTTAATTTTAATTTGCCAATAACTTTCGTCCTGAAAGAGTGAAACACTTTCATCAAGATTTTTAATATTTATGGAGAATTGATTTGAATTTTCAGATATTTGTTTCTCCATTGACACAATTTTCGCGGAAAGTAATTTTATACTTTTCGCGATCTCTGTTTGTTTTAAATCGGCATCGATAGGTGCATTAGCACTATTTGTTCTTGAGCGATTATTAGAGGTCTTTAACTTTATGTCAGTCATTTTTCAGTAATATAAAAGCTGTTTACAGGTACAATAGACCACCATTTAAAGTTGAAGTGTGAAAAGAAAGCATGTCCGAAGTTCTTTTTTATTGGCTATCATATCAGATGATCTTCATTGAATTTGATTGGTTGATATCTAATAATATCTCATATCAATATATCAACGATGCATACCACAGTCGCACCTAAGTGCATGCTCTTGGTATAAGAATTAACCCCTCTAAGTGCATGCTTAGGAATCGGGTATAAATATGCACTTGGAAGGGTTAGCATAGCAGAAACTCGTATCCCATAATCATTGTTACACAAACTAATTATATTGTCAATTTAAAATTTGATATACGGTTGTAGTCTAAAAACCGGAAATTTCACCCATAATAAAGGTACCCCCATTTATAAGTAAAGATTCTTCGTTTTGAGTGTTTCTAACAGAAAATCTTTTCTAATCGTTTTCAGAAAGTTTTCATAGGAATAAAGGTAGGCGTTTGGTAATTGGCAGAGTTTATTGAGTTTCTACTACGTTTAAATTAAGAAACCAAACAATATATTTATAAATTGTTAAACCGTGAGTGTTATATTAACATAAAACTTTATACATTTATGATCTAATATGTAGTATAATAAATATGATGTTAGATGTAGTATGAATAAAATTACTTTAGTAGTTAGTATTAAAACGCTTTGCTTTTATTAATAATAAATTCATCTTCGCGTATTTCGCGTATCGAAAGAATTTTTAATCGATTTGATTGATGTGATTTTCCGGTTTCTGCTATGCAGCATGCTTAAAAATCCTATGATTGGTTAATCAAATTTTGTTGTCACATGTTATGTAACTCATGCGACAAATAATGCAGACCAATTTTTAAAATACAGTCACACCCCCCTAAGTACACCCACCTTGGGACCATAGTAAAAAAAAAGCAAATCATGCACTTAGGGAAGGTGTGCACTTAGAGAGATTAAAAATTTATAATTGTTATATTATTTAGGACCAAGAGAGAGCGTGAACTTAGAGAGATTTTTCATATATCGTGCACTTAGGGGGTGCGACTGTACTATTTATGTAATCCCGTGACACTTTACTTGTGATGTTTAATTTTATAATAAAAATAGTGTTTCGATCCATAATTCGACAAATTCAGGTAGATTTGACAATTCGTATTAGAGCGGATGTCCTTATCCTTTAATTTTAAACGAATAGATCAGTAATTTATAATTAGGTTATTAGTAATTATAAACTTCATTAGTAATTGCATAATATAGTCACGCTAAAACCAGGAACCGAAATATAGATATGAAGCAATTTAATCAGTGAGGATAACAAATTGCAAGAAACGGCAATTTAAACCAACTTTAAAGCATTAGTAAAAAATTTCAGAGCGAAAAATTTTACCTATAACTAATAGACTAACTCCTACTTAATCCTAATGTCCCAAGTTCATTAAATAATATTAAATTACACAGTGGCTCTCAATATAACAGATACGTATTGTTTAATGCGGAGAATTATAATGGAACCTAATTATGATTTTTATAATATCTGATATATTATGAGGTTTTGATATTACAGAGCTTTTGGTATAACGGAACAAAGAACTGGAACCATAGCCTTCATTATATCGAGAGCCACTGTGTATATTATAAATAACATTTGATTTTTATGATATATTCAAAATTACTAATCAAATTGATCAACTGGATAGGTTAAAAGCAGATCTGAATTAATTCGAATAGCCTTTGACAAATAGAATCGAAACACTAATGCTAATAAGAAATATAAATTTTACTAAGCTAAAATTTTTATTTATTGATTATTTACATTAAATATATATAAAAAAAATGAGAACAATAAAACAAGATATTTTAAAATATATTGATAACACTACGTACTTTGAAGCTATCACTATGAATGGTTTTTACGAACAGGAGGAACCGTCGATGTTACACGACTGATTCTTCACCTGGTGTGCAACATATAAAAAAATCCTTTTACAATACCAGATCATTCCGCTAGTATATGTTATGATTATAATCCCACACCATTTTTATTGTAATAAAATGGTGTGGGATTATAATCATAACATATACTAGCGGAATGATCTGGTATTGTAAAATGATTTTTTTATATGTTGCACACCGGGTGAAAAATCATTAGAAAGTTCACGAATCAAGAGCATAAATACTTATTTACCATATTTACCATTACTAATACCTTCAAATCATTTCATTTGCATTAATTATTCATTCAGTGGGTTAGTATAAAGAAGATTTATTAATCATGGAATTAAAAACAAGTTCACAAATAAAGAACATAAATACTTATTTACCATTACCTAATTCCCTAAAATCATTTCATTCGCATTAATCATTTATTCAGTGTGTGAGTATAAAGAACATTTATTAATTATTAGAATTAAAAACAAGTTCACAAATCAAGAACATAAATACTTATTTACCATTACCTAATACCCTTCAAATCATTTATTTGCACTAACAGTTTGTGAGTATAAAGAACATTTATTGTCACGGCTAATGCTAAGGCTGACGTTCACGTGACATATAATAAAAAAGTTTGTTGCCATATACAGAGATCATTTATGTTAGGGTTAGCGTTTAATTTGTGTTGGAGGTTATATTAAGGTTAGAGGTCAGCAAACTATATAATAAAATCGCAAAGGAAAACTTTTGCTGATGCATGTAAGATTGCTTCTATGCGAATTTTTAATCATGACTTACTATTGGCCGATCATCGCGTGATCATAAACACAGTATCGCCACCAAAATGGTGCAGTCACGTGAGGACCGAAAAATTTTTAAAGTTCGTTTAGATTAAAAGAGGTTTAATAGTAAAATCTCTCAAGGAAATTCTTTTGCAAGTGCACTAAAGGTGGTTCTCTATGTAAATTTTTAAGTTATGACAAAGCAAAAGTTTATTTTGAATTTTCCTAATTGTGTAATGTTTCACTTGATTTTAAAATCTGATTTGTTTGTGACACACAATTTCATGTGATTACAACATTTTGATAATGATACTGAGGTAGTTCTATAGTGTTACAGGGTTGTAGCCTTCTTGGTACAATACAACCAAGTAACAAAGTTACCTGGTATAGTGATTGACTATTGCAAATATATATGGGTGGAGGTGTAATAGTTCACTTTACTATACAGCAGCAGGCAAATGGTTCAAGATAGTAACAGTATATAGATTAATTTTTATTAAATAAACACACAGTAATAATCTTGCCTATAGGAATTATCCTAAAAGGGAAATATCACTTTTACAAGTTAGGAATAAAGATAGAAGGGTCTAGGTTAAAGTATAAGAACTGAGAATTGGCAGAAAAGAGTAAAAGTTATCTTTTATATATCTTTTTACCTAACAGAGATAGTGGAGATTCAAGCAATATTACTTGATACTATACTTGAGATAATGGAAGTTTGAACAACATTAGATATCATTGTAGTTAGGATAATGGAGGTTCGAACAATATTAAATAATACTGTATTTGGGGTAGTAGAGACTATATAGAGGTAACTAAGGATATTGTTTATATCATTTGTTATTTATGCTTGAAATACTTGGGGTTTGTGTTTAGACACTTGAATTCATACAAAGGCACTTGGAATTTGTGCAAGAATACTTGGGGTTCATACAGGAATACTTGGAGTTCATGTCGAAGATACTTGGGATTCTTGTGCTGTGTCACTTGGTACAGTAATTTGGTACTAGAATACATGAAACTTATACAGAAATACTTGGGGTTTGTAAGATGATAGTAACATTACAGATGTTACTCAGTGTCATATAGCTGTACTATATTTCTAATAGCCAATTAAGATTCTTTTATCTATCTACTATATAATATATCTATTGACTAACTAATAACTAATAATAAATATAATATAAAATACAATAATGAATATATATAATTACTAATACTACTATATAATATACTATGCTAAAATCTATTTTGTAACAATAGTTATTAGATAAAGTTGTTTTTGCAAATAGTGAAACACAAAACTAACAAAACACAAAATTGGTAAAACTAAGACAAATAACAAAACTTTAGATGAATGGTGAAACCCTTAGTGAATAGTAAAACCTTTGGCAAATAGTAAAATCTCTGATGAATAATAAAACTTTAGAGAAAGATAAAGTTCAAACTCTCAGCAATTTTAATTTATTAAAATTTTAGAAAAAACTAAACCATGTTAGAGAATAAAATATTGTATATATAGTAGTTAACAAAAGTAATATCTAATTTGCAGATCATTACATATGAATAAATAAAAAGACTATGCATACTCTATTTTTATGAATTAAAGAGTAACTTTTTTATTTTTTATTTTTTGATCTCATAAAGAACTAAGTATATGTTAAAAAAATTTTTTTTAATTAAAATATTATAGAAACAAATAATTGAAAAAGAAAAAAGAATGATTTTTACTTATATTAGTACTATAAGTACTGAATAAGTTGTTTACAAAATTACAAAATATTAGTTGAACTATAGTTTAGTATGTACTAATGCATACAATTATTATAATATAATATCATCAGATTAGTAATATGTTGTAGAACATAGTGCTTCGATAAATGTATCACAAAGTCTGTTTTTATTTATTTTGTGTCAAATAAATTTGAATAAATGTAATTTAATTAAGTTTTCTTCAATTTCATAGAACAGTCTGTAACTTGATACTATTCTACAATCCTTCTATAGTATTTGTATATGTACCTATTTTAGAATCTACAAATTTTCTGAATAATTAATAGTTTTATGTTTGAATTCTAGTTCATTAATATTCAGATAGTCTTTCTAATAATTTGTATGAATAATAGATCCTTTTTCAACATATTTATCTAAGATATCTTTGATTATTTTTTCATATTTTTGTATCTTTATCAAAAAGCATTATATTTGTTTTGTTCTTTTAATATTACCAATAATCTATATACTATCAATAACTTTATAATAATAATATTTCTTC